GTTCGCCATAATCTCAGCGCTCCCAGACCCGGAGTTCGAGGTAGCCGCCGATCAAGCTTCAACATGAATCTTAACCTCCGGCGACAATCCTCCTCCTTCTGAACGGCGTAGTACCATCTTCTCGAGCCAACCGGACTTTCCGAAGAATCATCTCTCGCCTTCCGCTGAATTTCTCTTGTCGCCGGCGAGATCGCTGATTCAACATATCTTGTGCATCCATGGCTTTTGAACTCGCCCCAACGACTGCGTCTCCACCCTCAGCTCTCTCACAGTTGTCTCCATCAGATCTGACGAAGACCAAAACTCCCTTGCCATGTCAGATGCTCCTCCTTTCGGCACTGCCAAACCCTCCCAAACCACCTGTATCCCCCAGATCTGCCGCCTTCTCAGCTATTTTCAACCTTCGGCTTGCTCCTCCTCCCAAAAAATCTCGTTTTATCAACCACTGCTCTTGTTCTCGATGTGTCTGAGTTGATGCTCCAAATCTTTGTTTCAATGCAATCCCCTACTGCCGAGTGCAGGGTCTCTATATATATATGCTATGGACGTTCACAATGCTTGGAACGTAAATCTCACTCTAGTCGCTCTCTGAAGTCACGCAGCAAGCACCCTGCAACCAGGTTCTTTGTTCGATTCTTGCTTTTCTCTTCCCATGCTTCTATGGGTTTTGGATACATTAGATATGAAGGGAGAAGTTTAGTTGGTCTTTTTAGATTGAATTGGATCGAATCAGAGATTTTTTATCACCTATGGTTATTGTTTATGTTATAGTTTGTGACTTTCTCTTATCATAATGACTGTGATTCTATCTTACCTCTTATTGAGGCATTTACTAGCGTGCATCTAGGTTCTCTTGTTACTACGTCTTTCGCCTTCGTGCGAATCTTTACTACTAAATGCATGTTGTGTTCTCAGATTATTGGTACTATGGAGTTCATTTTGCCTTCTTTGTGGTTGGTTAAAAGAAGTTTTGTGCCGAAGCTCACAGGTGCTTCTGTTCTCACCTTGTTCAAAGGCTTTACAACGCAGTGTTTCTCTGGAATTGTAGCCAACATCTCGATTGATAATGCTGCCATAGTTGCAGTTTCAATCCCGGGCATTAGATCATTGTGTATGGTCTTTGTTTCTCGAAGCGTCGCCTCTCCTTCTAGCAACAATGGCGTTGAGTTACTCCTCGGCTTTGATTGTTTATGGGTTTGGCTCGTATCTATCTCCTTTTGCTATGTTTTATGATTTGCTCTTGTAACATTGTTTTTGTTGGTCTTGATGGATTTGATTTCATATTTTATAAACATTTTATCCTTTAATGGAGAGTAACAAAATCTATGAAAATCTTTGGTGACCAAAAAATAAATAAATAGAGATAGAAATGGAAAATTAATCATAAGTTTGGTTTCCTTTGCAAATTAAATAGAAAGTCCTTTACAAAAAAAAAATAGAAATTGTGAAATTTCATATAGAAAATGGGCGAGTAAGAGAAAAAACAATTGAAGTAAATAACTTTTGTGTGTATATATGGTTGCGTTTCATTAATTGTGTAAATAATGTTTACAAACTCTAAATAATCTCAAAACTCGACAC